TTTAGGTAGACTGCCTATTTCCTCTTCATTTGTTAGGTCTGGTGGGTTTTTATCTTGCTCCTTCATCTTCTGTGTGTTTTTCTGTCTTCTCATTTTGCTTATCTTACTGTGTTTGGGGTCTCCCTTTTGCAGGCTGCAGGTTTGTAGTTCCTGTTGTTTTTGGTGTCTGTCCCCAGTGGCTCAGGTTGGTTCAGTGGGTTGTGTCGGCTTCCTGGTGGAGGGTACTAGTGCCTGTGTTCTGGTGGGTGAGGCTGGTCTTGTCTTTCTGGTGGGCAGGTCCACGTCTGGTGGTGTGTTTTCAGGTGTCTGTGGACTTATTATGATTTTAGGCAACCTCTCTGCTAATGGGTGGGGTTGTGTTCCTGTCTTGCTAGTTGTTTGGCATAGGATGTCCAGCACTGTAGCTTGCTGGTCATTGAGTGAAGCTGGATGCTGGCGTTGAGATGGAGATCTCTGGGAGATTTTTGCCGTTTGATATTATGTGGAGCTGGGAGGTCTCTTGTGGACCAGTGTCCTGAAGTAGGCTCTCCCACCTCAGAGGCACAGCACTGACTCCTGGCTGCAGCACCAAGAGCCTTTCATCCACACGGCTCAGAATAAAAGGGAGAAAAAGTAGAAAGAAAGAATTTGTAGAAGTAGAAAGAAAGAAAGAAAGGAGGGAGGGAGGGAGGGAGGAAGGAAGGAAAGAGGGAAGGAAGGAAAAAAGAAAGAAGATAAAGTAACATAAAGTAGATAAAATATAATAAAGTTATTAAAATAAAAAATAATATTAAGAGAAAAAAATTTAAAAAACAAAAGACGGATGGATAGAACCCTAGGACAAATGGTGGAAGCAAAGCTATACAGACAAAATCTCACACAGAAGCATACACATATACACTCACAAAAAGAGGAAAAGGGGAAAAAATCATAAATCTTGCTCTCAAAGTCCACCTCCTTAATTTGGGATGATTTGTTGTCTATTCATGTATTTCACAGATGCAGGTACATCAAGTTGATTGTGGAGCTTTAATCTGCTGCTTCTGAGGCTGCTGGGAGAGATTTCCCTTTCTCTTCTTTGTTCGCACATCTCCCAGGGCTCAGCTTTGGATTTGACCCCGCCTCTGCGTGTAGGTCGCTGGAGGGCGTCTGTTCTTCGCTCAGGCAGGATGGGGTTAAAGGAGCAGCTGATTCGGGGGCTCTGGCTCACTCAGGCTGGGGGGAGGGAGGGGTTCGGATGTGGGGCGGGCCTGTGGTGGCAGAGGCCGGCGTGACGTTGCACCAGCCTGAGGCGCGCCGTGTGTTCTCCCAGGCAAGTTGTCCCTGGATCATGGGACTCTGACAGTGGCTGCACAGGCTCCCCGGAAGGGGGTGTGGATAGTAACCTGTGCTCGCACACAGGCTTCTTGGTGGTGGCAGCAGCAGACTTACTGTCTCATGCCCGTCTCTGGGGTCCGTGCTTTTAGCCGCTGTTCGCGCCAGTCTCTGGAGCTCCTTTAAGCAGCGCTCTTAATCCCCTCTCCTCATGTACCAGGAAACAAAGAGGGAAGAAGTCTCTTGCCTCTTCGCAGGGTCCAGACTTTTCCCCGGACTCCCTCCCGGCTAGCCGTGGTGCACTAACCCCCTGCAGGCTGTGTTCACGCCGCCAACCCCAGCCCTCTCCTGGCGCTCCAACCGAATCCTGAGCCTCAACTCCCAGCCCCGCCCGCCCCGGCGGGTGAGCAGACAAGCCTCTCGGGCTGGTGAGTGCTGGTCGGCCCCGATCCTCTCCACTTTGCCCCCCGCACCCCTGTTGCTGTGCTCTCCTGCGTGGCTCCAAAGCTTTCCCCCTGCACCACCCGCAGTCTCCGCCCGTGAAGGGGCTTCCTAGCGTGTGGAAACCTTTCCTCCTTCACAGCTCCCTCCCACTGGTGCAGGTCCAGTCCCTATCCTTTTGTCTCTGTTTATTCTTTTTCTTTTGCCTTACCCAGGTACGTGGGGGGGTTTCTTGCCTTTTGGGAGGTCTGAGGTCTGCCAGTGTTCAGTAGGTGTTCTTTAGGAGTTGTTCCACGTGTAGATGTATTTCTGCTGTATCTGGCTTCTGAATAACTAGGCTTTAAAATGCTTAGGATCTGGACTCAACCTCAGCCAGTTTCTGATTAAAACTGAAGTGGCTCCTTTTTTTCTTGATTAGTCTTACTTTGGATATAATTTGTTCTTCTTTTTCTGGCTTCTTAAGAGACAAAGAGCATTAATTTTTAACCTTTTCTACTAGAAAACATTTAAAGCTATAAATTTTCTTCTAAGCACTGCTCTTTCTAAGCACCCTCTAAGCATCTTCTTAATGCTTATATTATGTACTTTTCAGTGTAGAGAGTATAATATAATCTGTATTATATTGTATTTTTGTTTTCCATCAGTTGAAAATAATTTCCAGTTTCCCTTATGGTATTGTTCTTTGACCCATGGGTTATTTAGAAGGATATGTTTAATTTCCACACATTTCTAGGTATCTTATTTTTATAGATATCTAATTTCATTTTGGTCAGAGAACATACTGTGTAAAATTGCAACATTGAGAGTTATTGACACTTATTTTATAGCCCAAGATATGCTTTCCCTTGGTGAATGTTTCATGTATACTTGAAAAGAATATTGGGTATAATATTCTATAAATGTCACTTCTGTGCTAATTGTGTCAAGATGGTTGATCGTGGTGAATCATGGCCCTTAAAAGATGTCCACGACCTAATCCCCAGAACCTGTGAGTATGTTACTTAATGTGCTAAAAGAAGCTTATAGATGGGAAGATTATCCTGGTGGGCTCAATAAAATCACAAGGGTCCTTATAAAAAGGAGTCAAGAAGGTTAAAGACAAGACGGAAATGGGACAATGAAAGCAGAGGCTGGATGATTGCACTGAAGATGGAGGCAAGGGGTACAAGCCAAGGAATGCTGGCAGCTTCTAGAAGCTGGAAAAAAGGAAACAGATTTTTCCCCTGAAGCCTCCAGAAGGGATGCAGCCAGCTAGCAACTTGATCTTAATGAAACTGATTTCAAACTTCTGGCCTTCAGAAGTGTGACGGAATAAATTTCTGTTGTTTTAAACCACCCAGTTTGTGGTAATTTGTTATCACAGCCTCGGAAAACTAATATAGAATGTGGTACCAGGAAGTATGGCATGCTGTTGTAACAGATACCTAAAAATGTGGAAGTGGATTTGGAATGGTAGAGGCTGGAAGAATATTAAGGCGCATGATTTTTCAAAAGCCTGGATTGCCTTGAACAGACTCTTAGTATTATAGAAATATAGATGATAAAGTCTGCAAGTGAGGGCTCAGGAGGAAATGAGGAACATTGTAGAGAAACCCTGTATAGTCTAAGAGAATACCTAAATCTTCATAAACTTTTGGTAGAAATACGGATAATTAAAAGCACTGTTGGTGAGGACTCAAAAGAGGAACATGTTATTGGAAATTGGGGAGGGGATGGGGTTCTTGTTACATAGTGGCAGGAAGCTTAGCTGAAATGTGACCTACAGTGATATGGAAAGCAGAATTTGTAAGTGATAAACTTGCATGTTTATTAGGCTGATGAGATTTTTGAGCAAAATGTTGAAGGTTTGGCTTGGTTTCTTGCTTCTTACAGTAAAATGTGAGAGAGAAGAGATAAATTGAAGGAGAAACTTTAGCAAAAAGGAACCAGGATTTGATTGGGGAAATTCTTAGCCTATCCAAAACTCATCAACTAGAAGAGCAACTTGGAAAATTGATTTATTTCTGGTCTTCACTCTTATTAGAAGTATAACAAAAGTAAAAGTTTCCTTGTTGAAGTCTAATGTTTATTCCTAAAATTTAGTATAATAGGAATAAAATGTTGTCTAAGTACTTAGGTATTTGTTTCTCCTTCTTTCCATTCAAGCTAGGAAGTTGATTTGTGCTGTCATTATTTTTATTTCTTTTGAAGTATTTTTTTAAATTCATTTTGGCAGAGTAACTGCAATCATGGTCATCTGCCATTGATATACATATAATTTAATATATGTTTTATCGTGTGTATGCAAGGATATTTTGAGAACACTTTCCAAGTGGAATTTTAACCTATCATCAATTTTGTTGGAAGAGCACAATTGGTAACCCTCCCCTCAACTGCTTTTTCCTCACCCAACTAACAGGTTGCAAATTCAGAGACTATGAATTTGGATAAGAATCCAGAGTCAGTTAATAGTCCAGAGGAAAGAAAAACTTCTGTGAACTCTGAACCTTCTAACCCTTCAGAAAAAGCAAGTGAAAAGATTAATTTGTCATGGGAACATAATGAGGCTGTTTCTGAAAGGTAGGCATTTCTATAAAAATGCATAAACTTATCTAAATATGTTTGTAAACACATATACTCAAGCATAAAATAGCTTAAAGCTTCATATTTATATGAATGCTATTTTTGTCCATTATGAAGAAATTGGTTCTCAAAAGCTTTTATTGTCATTTTAACTGTACTAAATAAAATTTTGAATTGGTTAGGTGATCAGGTTTTTCATTGTGATGCTTTCCATCTTTGGTATGGCAACTGGAGTGATCAACTGGATCACTCCAGTAGTTTCCTCTTCTACACATGGAAGAATCAAGGCCCTATGAAACAGTGGTTTTAAAGAATTACACAGAGGAGTAAGACTAGGAGAAAAGTGTCTAAAATTAGTTCCCTGAATGTGGAAGGTAGTATCATGATAACTTCAAACTATAGTGAATAGGTTAACTTATTTGTCTGATTGATCACAAAGCAGCTGAGACACCTAATCTCCAATCTAGCCTAATAGAAGATTTAGGGCTGATAGGGAAGAAATAGTTTAGTTTAACAAAGACGCTTGATTGGTGATCCTGGCCTGGATTGATGTTCAAGGATAGGGGGATGGGGACATTTTAATGAATTCTCTTGACTGGTGATTCTCAACAGTTTTGGAGCTTTATAATATTATTTATTCTTAACATTTCACTCCCTAAAATGTCCTATGGTTTTGCTTTTATATGTTAAATTATATGTCAGCTTTTAAAAAGAGGAAAATTTATAACTAAAAATAAGTGAATTAAATGATGGCCATTGTTTGGAGAACACCACTCTTTCCCCCAAATAACTATGCATACTCAAGGATGCTATAAAACAAAAGAGAAGCATTACAGATCGACACCATTTACAGGAGATTCTTGGTATTTGGGAATTCACATGCAGTTCTGGCTCTTCAGAAGAAACCCTAATATTCCATGATATTGAGGCCTGCATTTTAGTTTTGAGCCAGGAAGCTGCTGTGAAGAAGGCACTTATTTAGTTGACAAAGGAAAGAGTCACATTTCAGTGAGTGTTTGTTGTTACCACTTATTGATGCCTGTGCTGAAACTCAAAGTGACAAAAAAGAAAAATGCTGTTGATGGAAGTGAAAACACCGTTAAAGTAACATTTTATAGACTGATATGTTAACTTTATCAGTGGCTTATACGCATGATATGAACAATTCACCTCATGCTCTATAATGAAGGAAGAATGTGCAATTTATGAAACTGTTTCAGGCAGCACTGTCAGCCCATGGTGAGTGTGAGAATAGGTGTAACAATTGTGTAACTTGACCCTGATGGGTAGGTTCAGTGGTGAATTTTATAAAACATTTAAGAAAGAAACAATACCATTTTTAAACAAACTATCCCAAAGAATAAAAAAAGAGGGAATATTTTTCATTTTATGAGACTAGATGCTAAAATTTGGTATAACTCTGATACTTTGATAATAAAATCAATTTAAAAATTTTACAGAAATGGAAAATTACAGTTTACTTTTACCCACAAAATAGATGCAGATATCCTAAACAGAAACTAGTAAACCAAATTCAACAGTCTATAAAAGTTGAGTTTCTTCCAGGAATGCTGCAACATTGGTTTAACAATAGCAAGTCCACTTACATAATGTGCCAGGAGAAGAGTCATCATCAGCTCAAAATAGACGTAGGATTTTATAAAATACATGTTTATGACTAAAAAAAAATTCTTGGCAAACTTGGGATAGGAGGTACCTTCCTTAATTTGATAAAGAGTATCTATAAAAACCCTAAAACAAATCTGATAGTGAAATATTGGAAATATTCCCTTTGAGATAAAAATAGAAGGATGCCTGCTGTTACCACTTTAAGGTTATACTGGATATCTTAGCTAATGCAAAAATGCAGAAAAACAAAAGAAAGAAAAATATAAAAGATTCAAAAAGAAGAAACAATAATATTACTATTCCTAGATGATTGGGGGTATATATGTAGGAAATCCAAAGGAATTTACAGATAAATTATTAGGATTAATAAGAGTTTAGCAAGATTGCTAAACTCAAACATATAAGAAATCAATTGTATTCCTATAAGATATAAAAAATTAGGAAATGAAAAATTTTTAAACATATTATAGTATTAAATGTATCAAGTACCTAGAAATACAATTAACGAGGCATGTAATAACTGAAGAAAATTACGAAACTTTGAGATATTGAAGAAGAATTCATTGGAGAAACGTACTATGTTTATGGTTTGGACAATACAATATTAAAAATGCTTTTACTTTTGTTCAAATTAATTTATAGAGGACAGTTTCAGTCAGTTTCCCAGTGTGTAATTTTACGGAACTTGACAAGCTGATTTCATTCGAAAATGTATATATAAATGCAATGGGTTAAGAGGCCAAGATACCCTTTAAGTAGAGAAACAGAATGGAAGGAATTTGCCATCAGATGTCAGGACATTATGAAACTGCAGTAATTAGGATAATGTGATATTGGCAAGTGCTAGACAACAGAGCTGTGTAACAGAGTCTGGAAACCTATACCTATATGTATTATGTGATTTGTGTTGGAGATTGTATGGCAGATCAATTGGGAAATGATTGACTTTAGTAAATTCATATTGCTGTTCATATTGTGAGAAATATAAAAGAAATTGGATCCCTGAGTCCAATCCCTGTACATCAATCTCAAGTGAATTAAAGAACTAAATATCTAAAGGAAAATTATGAAGCTTTTAGAAGGTAACATAAAATGTCTTCATGAACTTCGGATAAGGAAAGATATCTTCAGACACAAATACCCTTGCCATAAAAGAAAAAAAAAGATCAATTTTACCACATTAAAATTAGAAACTTCTTTTCTCAAAAGGCACTATAAAGATAGTGAGAAGACAGGCCATCAAGTGGGAGAAGATACTTGCAGCACATATAACCTATAGAGGACTAGTAACCAGAATATATATAAAGAACTTCAACAAATCAATGAGTAAAAGCCAGATAATGGAAAAGAAAAATGGGCAAAAGACTTGTACATCTACTTCACAAAAGAGGAATTCCAAATGGCAAATAAACATATGAAAAGGTGCTCATCTTCACTAGTAATCAGGGAAATGCAAATTAAAACCACAATGAGATACCATTTCATATCAGGTAAGGAAAAGTAAAACATTTAAAAATCTGACAATACCAGGTATTGGTGAGGTTTTGAAATAAAAGGAATTGGTTTTAGTTAATATTTTGTTGGGTGAGTAAATTGGTATAGTACTTTAGAAAAAATTTGGCATTATCTAGAAATATTGAAGATCTGAATATCCTTTGACCTAGCAGTCCTATTCCTTGGTATATACCCTAGCTAGAGACATGTTCACATGTGCAATAGGACATATCTAGAGGAATGTTTATTAGCAGCATTTTCCATAATAGCCAAAAACCAGAAGGAGAAAAAGTCCATCTACAGCTGAAAAGAAAAATAATTGCTGTAAGTCCATACGGTAGAATTTTGTACATTAATGAAAGTGAAGGAACTACAGTCACATGTAACAGTATGTTACTCCCACAAAAAACATTATTGAAAGGCAGACACAAGGAATAGTATGATTCCATTCAAATGAAGTTCAAAAATAGCCAGCAAAAAGTACATTATTTATGAATTCAAAGCTAGATGGTAAATCTAAAGAGTAAAACAAGGGGATTAGTACCACAAATGCTATTTACGGAGGAGATTTATGATTCAGGATGGAGGCACGTGGGTTTCTGAAGTGCTGATAATTTAAAATGTATTTATCTGGGGCTTCCCTGGTGGCACAGTGGTTGAGGGTCTGCCTGCTGATGCAGGGGACACGGGTTCGTGACTGGGTCCGGGAAGATCCCACATGCCGCGGAGCGGCTGGGCCTGTGAGCCATGGCCGCTGGGCCTGCGCGTCTGGAGCCTGTGCTCCGCGGTGGGACAGGCCACAGCAGTGAGAGGCCCCCGTACCGCAAAAAAAAAAAAAAAAAAAAAAAAGGTTAAAATGTATTTATCTGAGTAGTGGCTACATGGATGCTAGCTTTATAATTATTTATTAAGCTGAACATGTATTTTTAATCCAATTTGAAAATAATTATTAATTGGAAAGTTTAGATTATGTTTAATGTAATCTTACTCATATATGTGGGCTCATAACTATAATCTTAATACTTGTTTTCTATTTGTTGCATTATTTTATGGTCCTTTTCCCTTATCTGTGTCTGTTTTTTTCTCTACTTATTTTAGCCTTCTTTTGGATTTCTTTTTCCCATTCCCCATTAGCTCATTAATTATACATCTTTCATTGTACCTTTTGAAGTTATCCTAAAGATCATGATATGGATTCTTGACTCTAACATTAGAGTCTAATATGAATTGCTACTTTTACCATTTTATAGGCAATGCTTGACCTTAGAACACTTTTAACTCCATTTAGTGCTCCCTCCCATTGTTTGTTTCATGCATTTAAGTTTTACATTATTTTAAATCTCATAAGACAATATCATTATTTTGTACAGTCATTCACTTAGAGTTACCCAAATACAGTTGTTGGCTCTTGAACAACAAGGGTTTGAACTACTCGAGTCTACTCGTATACATGGATTTTTTTTCAATAAATATAGTACCTATAAACAAATAATTTCTTTTTCACATTTTCTTTTCATTTTTGATGTCTAATGTTTGTAATACATATAACATCTATGGTATTTGTATCATTAGGACAATATTGATATAGGTACTGACAGACAATTCATCTTGTAAACAGACAGCATAAACTTATAGTATCAATAAATAGAGGACACTACTGCAACTGTATTTTCCTTATGATTTTCTTAATATTTTTTTCTACCTTTATTGTAAGAACACAGTATATAATATATATAACATACAAAGTATGTGTTAATCGACTGTTTATGTTAACAGTAAGCCTTCTAGCCAACAGTAGGCTATTACTAGTTTGGGGATGAGTCGAAAGTTATACTTGGATTTTCTGATGCCTTCATTGTGCAAGGGTCAAGTGT